TCTTGAAACTTGAATCCAAAGTTAGAGTAGTAGCTAGATCCCTCTGTCGCATCCTTGTGCAAGATACTTCTCCCACCTTTTCTATCTGTGGTAATATCCCCACTAAAACCACTGCTGCTGGCTTCTTGGGCAAGACACTCCCCCTATCAGTAAATGTGGTCAGAGAGGCGGCTGGCGCTGATTAGCTGTTGTGACTATCATAATAGCTTTTCCCATGGGGATTAAAACATGTAAACAAGCCTACAAATCTAGCTACACACTTCATACTGCAGAAAGGTAGAGGGCTGTGGGAGTAAAGTATGATGCAACCTTGCCTTAGAGTTTGTTATTTGATGTGGAAAGATGACTAAAGTTGTCACTATAGTAACGTGAGTAAATTCTGTACGCAACTTACAGGAGCCAGCATTATTTCCCCTCTCTTCCTCCTCCTCCTCTTCCTCCTCCGTAGCAGCAGCAGCACACAGTGGTTATGTGTCAGCGCTCCGAGGAAGTGGAAAGTCTGTAAAACAGCGTGAGAGAGAGCAAAGAGCACAGCGCTTCTCAGAGGAAACACAATTAGACCACTGCTATTTATCTATGCCTATTTAACTGCACTGAACTGGAATTAGAAGTTTCTTTCATGTTGCGTTCCAATGGGTTTTAGTTGTTGGTCAGTCAGCACAAGGCCATTACTGAGTCTTGATGACACTGCATTTTTAAATACATAACTTATGGGAGAACAACTTATGTTTCATAATGTTCATAAGTATTCTTAAAGGTGCATTATGTAACTGTTCTTGTGTGAAGTCCATCACCTGCTTTTCCATGGAGATGTTATTGCTTTGCCTGAAATGTTGCAGTATGGCATTATCTGTCTATCTGTCTTATGTATTTAGTGTTTATACTGTCCAAGTTGTAAGTTACAACCTAACCAGCAACTTGATCTGGTGTGGTCAGTTACTTGTCTCCATGGAGATTCAAAAGTTTAATGCCATACTGTGTAGCATTCCAAGCAAAGCAATAACATCTCAAATGGCAAATGGCACCCCCCCTATTGTCATATATGTAAGTTTACAATGTATTTCAAATCTCTGAATTTAATCTGAACAGTTTACTTCGAAAATGTGTGCAAAATATAAAACAATTGTCGTACTGGCTAAAGTCCTTCCACCCCTTCTGTGGATCCGCCTCTGAAATCCCATTAGTTGCAATTGTTGAAGCAGACGTAGTTATGCAGTGGCTATAGCTGTATTCATCAGGTAACCACACTTTTGATAAATGTATAAACTGTCCTTAAAAGCACAAAGAAACATCTTCTTTATTCTTCTTTATTCTCATTTACACTCATTTACTTTACCAAGCAATAGGAAACAGAACGATAATACAGTTTAACATGTAAAATGCTGCCTTTTGGACGTTATTGCATTCTAACCATATGCAATTGCGGTCACTAAATTACCAGTCTCACATGTCTAACTTCCATCCTCCAACCGCATAGCTGTTAAGGTAACTCCATCAATGTTATAATCAGATGTCCTCTGTCTTTCCCATTAGAAAACTAACTATCCCATGCTCCTAACCTGTGTCTAATTTGAGTGTCACTCTTCCACAAACAGAAGGGGCAGATGGCACATTCTAACAGCAGCTGGTGAAGGCTTCAGATCAGATGGGTGTATTTGAATAAGAAAGTATACAGAGACATCTAGGCAGAGGAAGCCTGTGTACTTTGGTGATTGTTTATATGAAGAGAGCCAGGCAAGCAGCATTCTGGCAGTAAACAGCTAAAGGTGAGGATGAGCTAGGTCACATAACAATGTAAGCTAGCATGGGGCTCTGGTATCCATCTGCAAATACAGAGAGAATCGGGTTTCGATTGGTTTATAGGGAAGGAAAGATTGTGTTTTATAGTGAGTTGAGTTGGAATGTTTTGGCAATTGAAAAGTGTTACTGTCTACATTGCATAAATATTATCTGTTTTTTTCTACATTACATCTACATTGTTTTTACCAAACTCCTTTTAAAGGTTCATGGAAAATTCACTTTGTTAAGCTTGTAACATGTTAAAATATTGTTCCCTCATCAGAAAGCATACCTGGGGTTGCATTTTGTAGCATTCACACTTGTTATATTCATATGGGGTTAATACGATTGACTGAGGTTCAGGAGCCTCATCCTCCTACTGCTCCTCTCCAGCAAACCACTACTCACCTCAGCCACACCTCTAATTACCCAAAAGTCCTATTTATACAGGCCCATCCTGATCACACTATCTGTCTCCACTAACGATTGCATCAGAAATTATTTTGTTAGAATTTTCCCTGGTTTGTTACATCATAGGTACAATTTTGGTAACAAACTGGCTAAGAGAGCAGTGGAGTCACATTTATGCAGTACCCTCCTTGGTCTCTTTAGAGGTGTTCAAATAAAGCTTTCTTCATGCACATTTAGGCAGCTGGTTTAGCCAAACATTTTCTTCCACTTATCCGAGACCGGGTCGTGGGGGCAACAGGGACTCCCAGACTTCCCTCTCCCCAGACACATCCTCCAGCTCCTCCAGGGGACCCCGAGGCGTTTCCAGGCCAGCTGAGAGACATAGTCCCTCCAGCGTGTCCTGGGTCTTCGCCGGGGCCTCCTCCCGGTGGGACGTGCCCGGAACACCTCCCGAGGGAGGTGTCCAGGAGGCATCCGGGACAGATGCCCGAGCCACCTCAACTGGCTCCTCTCGACATGGAGAACAAAATATCGGCCTTTGCTGGAGATGGCCAATAGCCAATACACAAAGGAAAGCAAATATCTTCTTTAGGTAGAACTCCTACGCAGTTTTGAAATACATATATCTTTGTCAGATTAATTCTGAGCATTTTTGCCATCAAATTACATTCACTACAACTGCATGCTTATATTAGCATGCCGGTCACACTGCTTTAATGGATAGTTTTTCTCTATGGTTAATTTCCACTGCTGCCAGTAAATGCCGTGCTAAGACTAAATCAAGACCAAATCCGAGCGGTGGGAGTGAGCTTCCAGTCAGATACAACCATTGGATCAAGCAGTATCTGTGTTTGCTTAATGTAAAATGTCTTGCCAAAGGACACAATCGCAATCAGGTTTATACTGCCACTCTATTTTATCATTTTATCACTTACATTCTGAAACACCAGTGTCTTTTAGCTAGTGCTACTACTACTACTTTTCCCACAGTTTATTTAAGAATGAACAGAAATTCTTTTTGAAAACTCACTACTACTTACAAATTGTCATTTTTCAACACCAACATTTAAACCAGACTTTCATTACGTCCATCTGTAACACAAGGGCCTATTGTTGAGCACAGTGAGTCCATGTGTGCTGTGTAAATACTGTGCATTAGGGCCTGCGTGTTTATTTGTCTGCTGTAGTCACTTGGCACTCATCTTCTAAATGCCCTGTCTCCCGCTGTAATAGAACTCATCTGGCTGCTAACAAGAGCTAAAAATACCACAAACAGGCTACAAAGGGAGACCTATTTTCTGTTCTCTAGGATTAGGCTGTCATAGATGTTCAAACAACATAAATTAAATAAATAAAACATTTGGTTTGATTAGATCCCTGCACGCATTTTCTGTGTAATTACATGTGTTGCCACTGGTAATGGTAAAGTCCTGGTGATGTGTAAGCACTTAATAGGTTTAATAGCTGTAATAGATGTGTACTAGATGTAATAAAGTACAGTGTAATACATGTTACCAAAATATACAAATCACTGTTTTCCACTCTGATACTCCTTCTACGACTTTGTTCACCATTCTTGCAGTTTAATACCTTTGTTTGTTACAGCTTTTGTCAGCATTGTTAAAACAGCTGTTAAACATGTATTACCTTAATCTGACATTCATTAAAGATTAAAGAGGGGGGGATTATGCTAAACTGACTTTGTTGTTTCCTCATCAAAAACATGCTTGAAGAGGTTTTAAATGTCATCCATGCATGTGTGAGTGGCTCCCAAACTTGACTAGCACTATGATGTTCAACCCACGAGCTCCCGCAAGGCAATTTTCCATAAATATACAAAAGCAGGATACTGATTGTAATGTAATAGCACTCTGAAGGGGGTATGACTGACGTGGAGAGCAAAAGGACGGGGGACTCAGAGCATTGTGTGGTTTTGGCGAATATAGCATTTTCAAAGCAGTAAAAGGTAACGGTTACACTTTATTCTAGGGTACAATTATTAACATCTAACTACCTGCTAATAGTTGTAAATGGTGAATTTGTCATTAATTAGTGTTTATTCAGCCCTTATTAATGTCTAATTCCCCATAAGCTTATTCTGCTATTAGTTAGACATTTACAAACACTATTATTAATACAGTCCTTATTACTGCTTATTAATATGATACTAGGCCATTTTTGTATATTAATTATGTTTTCAATAAGGTAGGGTTGTTAAGGACTAGTACCACAAGTAATGTAGTTCTTATTTTTTTGCACCAAAAGCTTATTAGAATTATAATTCATGGACAAAAATGACCTACTATCATATTAAGCAGTAATAAGGGGTATATTAATAGGAAAGTGTTTGTAAATGTCTAACTAATAGCAGAATAAGCTTATGGGGAATTAGACATTAATAAGGACTGAATAAACAGTAATTAATGACAAATTAGCCATCTACAACTATGCTAACTACTACTAACTATGCTGTTGTTGGATGTTAATAAGTGTACCCTAAAATTAAGTGTTACCAAGGTAGCATGGTGATCTAAATATGTTATGTGTTAGCAGTTAATGAAAAACATGACCTTTAGTGAGCTATTACACCTGCATTGCATTTAATATAACTTTATTGGAGCTATTATGCCTTTATTATATTTGTTTCATCTTTATAAGAGCCATTATATCTCTGTTGCTCCTTCATTGCTACTTTTCTACATTTCTGTCCCTTCACATGTGACCAGTTTTACATGTAACAACACAGAAATTTGTGGGTGTAGTATATACCATTACTGTAAACCAATACTATGTTTGTTTTCTTTCTTCAGTCCAAAGCTATGCGGGAGAGATGGCTGCTCCAGGGAACTGTAGTGGAGGAAGAGGAGGCCCGAAGAAAACAGCTGGAGCAGGACGAAGAGCAGGGGAAGAGGCTAGAGGACATCATCCAAAGGTAGGCTTCACCACTCCGCACGCTGCTTTGTCCATTGTTTAGACACAGAGCCCATTAGATTAGCTTGTGACGTCAAGAGAGGGATGCAAAACAGATGTGCACCTCGACAGCTACACATCTGCATTGCATATTAGCAGCTGGATGCTAAAGTGGTTATTTAAGTGGGTTAGTGAGTTGAGCATGCTAGGCTAATTTAAAGACAAGTGCCTCACTTTTTTGCTTTAGTAGGAAAAATGATCTGTTTTGTCAAAGTTATGAGTATTTTCTTGGAATTCAATTCAAAAGTAGCTGGATAATATTAGAAAACCAATTTGTAGAAATCTAAACAAACCAGTAGGAAGTTTTTCATAGCGTAACCACTTTCTGAAATAAGAAGAAATAACAAAATAAAATGTATTGCATTCTGAGTGGATTACATTGGATTACAGTCATCCCTCACTATGTCGCAGTTCACCTGTGCGATCTTGCTGTTTGGCAGATTTTTTTTAGTACAATTTTGCATGAATTTTTTACAGTGTATGAATATGCATTGCGTTCCTCCCCCTGCATCCTGATTGGCTGTAGACCACTGTCAATCAATCTCCTCCGTGCCGTGTCTCCTGTACAGTACAGAATGCGTTCAGATGCCAAATTTACATACATTGCTAGCAGGGTGATTCTTAAGACTTTTTCTCCCCGACAAAACGTCAGTCGATGAAACGTTCTCCACCGACAAAGGCTCCTGTGGTCGCACCCAAAAGGCAGTGGAAGATGCAAAGCATCGCACAAAAAGTTGGACTTCTGGGCATGCTGAAGGAAGGTAGAATCACTGTAACAGAGTCCTGCACCGGGTCAAGTAGCTGCTGAAACGGGCGGGTTTTAAAGTTATGGAATTTTATGGACAGGTATGCGGGCAGGTAGTGCCGGGTAGACCTCTATGCCGGAACACTGGTCCTTTCTCCTGCGGTCACCCCCGAGCCTGTCCCAACAGAGAGTCCTGGTTCAGTTCTGGTTTAGTCCTGGTTTACTCCTGTTTTAGTCCTGTTTTAGTTCCAGTTCAGTCCTGGTTTAGTCCTCCTCTTCCGTCCTGGGTTAGTCCTGGTTTAGTCTTGGTTCAGTCCGTGGTGTATGCAGTGTCCCCTCTGAGAAAAGTGTATAAAGTTTGTGGTGAGGGGTTTTACAGACTTAAAACAGATATAATGATTGTAAAATATAAAGTTGACTACTTCGCGGATTTCACCTATCACGGGTTATTTTTAGAACGTAACCCTTACAATAAATGAGGGACCACTGTAATTTGAAATTGGACATTGTTTTAGGCTGATCTAGAATATTTAGTTAAAGTTGGAAGATGTAACTTTGCATCTTGTTTCGATAGAGATGTCATTGCTTTGCCTGGACTTATCTATCTTGACAAACGTGTGTTCTTACTGTAAGTGGGCTCACCTTTTCACAGATCTGACCTATAACTTGGCAGCATTGTGGAGAATTTTAACGCCATATTGTGGAACATTCCATGCAAAGTAATAACATATCATAAAGATAAGCAGATCCGACACCAGAAAAGGTACATAGTGCATAATGATTATTTAATATTTAATTCAAACCAAAATATTCTAACATAAAAACTATGTCAAATAGGTGAAATAGGTGTTATAACACAAGGCAGATGAGTTAGGATTAAAACAGCAGGGATATAATGAAATATAAAATGGAAAATTAAATTAGGGTGTGATTTCCAAGGCTGAAGAAAAAGTGAAAGGGACGGTGGTGTTACTCAGGGTGTGTTTCCTTTGTTGTCTGGGAGGAGCTTCCTGACTACCATCATGCACTGCTCTGATAGTCACTCATTCCCTGATGAAGGTGAGATCATAGGTGTTCCAAATAAAGTGCCAGCTCATGGTATCATTGGCACACTCTAAGCTCTGTGTGTGTGGGTACAATACAGTCACTACAAAATCAGACTCCAGGAAATGAATCTAAGTCAATGCTATGCCCCCACAAAGGGTGTTCTAGTGATGCATTGTGGGAAGGTCTGGTGATGTAACTGTGATGTTTTTGGACACAAGTAAATGGTTAGTTCCTATTATAGGCAGAGCTGCATCCGGCCTTACTGACAAAGACGTGGCTGCTTATCTGTGCCAGTGGCCTCTCCACTTACTGCTACTGTTACAAAAAAGAGATCCAGAAGCGGGTGAAGTGTCTTGCCCAAAGAAACAACAAGTATATTGATTGTACTTAAAGGTGCATTGGAAACTTTTCTGGTGGAGGGTCCGTCAAAAGCTTTTCGCCATGGAGATGTCTTTGCTTTGTCTGAAATGATTCACAGTATGGTATTAAAACTTTCTATCATCATGGAGACCAAACCAGGCCATGTTACTGGTCAGATCTGTGGAGACGCAACCCCGCTCACAGACAGAATACTTGTTTTTCTATGTATTTTTGAGCTATAAAAAAATTATTATTGTAAAGTAGAGCTGTTTCATGCTATACTGTGGAGCATTCCAGGTAGAGCCAAGACATATCCATAGAAAAAAGAGGGTGACGGACCCCAAACCAAAACGTTACATAGTGTACATTTAAAGTAGAACTGCACACTAAATCTAAACACTAAACAATTTTTTTTTGCTATTCAGTTGCATAAATCGTATATTTGAATAGTCCTGTTTACTGTTCATAGTAATTTTTTGGCTATTTTAGTGCAAATTACATATATTTGCTAACCTGATTCATTAGCCGGCTTCACTTTATTTCACTTTGTAGAAACCGTCTGACCTTGCAGTGTTAGTATTCGCTCAAAGGTAGGCGGGTACTTTTTATCATTTAACCAGTTGCTGCTATTTGGTAGTCACATATGTAATGCACCGCTAACTGGGCTAACTGGTACATTACGCTTTTCCCAAATCTCCTAGGAAGAAAGGTAATAATGTCTTTCCCCTTGATGAAATTCACCGAGCATTCTCTTTATTCTAGCTTTAAATCCTCGATCTTGGGAATCGTTGACAACACTGAATGTATAGCTCTTCGCAGATTGGCTGGTGCCCGAAATTGCACTTCCAGGGTTTTTGCGAACCGTCTATTGTATTTTGATTTCTGACCTATTTGCTGGAGAGAAATTAAATTGAGTGGAGGCAGTAGATGGCGCCAGCCTGGCTATATATTTGTTGCTTTGTGGTAAAAAAAAAAAGTGTGCTCTGGCTTGTGACATCACAGACGACTACCCTAAATTATTCCTCAGAGTTTGAAGTGTGGATACCTGTTTGACCAATCACACTATTCCTCATATGTCCCAATCCCATCCCTCCTCCCCTGTCACTCTTTCCTTTAGTTCTCCAGGCACCAATTTGAAATGTGGTTTTGGGTGGAGTTTAGGTGTTTAGTCCCACTTTAAACTTTATGAGCTGGTTGTCATCAACAAGCTATTGTGCCTGTTTTATGTTGATGGGGAAACCGCAGTGTCTGCACAGAAAGGAGCCATAACCTTCTTGCTGTGAGGTACTAGCCACGTTCTAAAGAAAATTACAATAAAACCAGTCCACTTTGCATATTCTTGCAGTTAAAATGGACTTGCCTGAAATAATTTGACCAGTGGATGCACACCAGTGAGCAGTGACTGTAAATTGTATCCAGCGTTGGCTATTTTGCTGTCAGTGAGTCAGCCACCACCTCCTCATCTATCAAAATGTCGCCATGAAAGACACTCTGTTACCCTCCAACTACTGTAGCTTATCGCCTGGACTGAGAAACATCAACAACGTATGGTCTTGGAATAACATAAGCGTCTGGTGTAAACAGGACTGCGGTGAATGGTCAAAGAGCGGACATTGTGGGGCACTGGACAGTCGTGATTGTGGACAACTCAATTCATTTAGCGGCGGCTGAATGGACGTGCTGTGTTGAGTGCTTTGATAGAAAATAAGCGCAGTTTTGCTTACATAAACAATTAAAACCACATAGATGAATACTCAGAGGCCTGGGCTTTGATGAAAGCTTGATCAGATTTCACTGTTTGCAAATGAGGTCAAAGGTGAAGTCATTTTGATTCAGTCAATATTTATGTAAATCTACAGAACTGCTTGATCCTATACAGTTATGGCACTATAAACATTGGGGCAGAATCTCGAAATCTAGAGGTGGGAATATGTTATTATTATTTTGTCTGTTTTATAGTTATGATCTATAACACCTGTGATCATTATGTAATATTTATTTTAGAAGTCAGTATAGTGTAATGGGTGTGTAAAGGAGGCAGGATAAAATGAAAACTATTGGACCATCTTGAATGCAGGAATCTCTCTGTATATAACATCAAGTGGCTAAGTGAAAAAGATAAACCATTTTAACATGATTAAAAGTAAAATTTACAGTTTTTGGTTGCTATTAGTCCATAAATATTTGTTGTTTTTGGTATGGAGAAAAGTGAAAAAAGAATAAGTAGCTTCTTGGCATATACGTCATTCTTTTATATTTTGCTAGAGGCCTGATTGACAGAAGGATGCCTGCCAGTCCACGCCTACAGTCTCTCTGTCTCTCCATCTGTTGATGGAGATTACTACAAAGTAATTTGAATCAAACCTATCCACATATGCAGTTGAACATTTTTGGAGGAATGGTTCTCAGATGTCTTTGTAACTTCTTAGGCCTTTTAGCTCATCTCTGGTGGGTCACAGATCTGAGAGCACATTGCGTAGGAGAGAAAGGAATGCCCCCAGCCACTTGAAACTAAAGTTGAGAAATCTCCCCCTCATGGTCCACACAAGGCCAGTCTGATCTCTGGGAGGGAGAGCATTCCTCCAGCAAGGTGTGGCATCTAATTTTACACCCAGCAGACACAGCCCAGAATATCCCATTACCCGGGCAACCGCAGTCTTTCCATTACTGATAGGACAGAAGTGGGTAGATGAGACACAATTATACTCTAGTAAAAGCACTGTTACCCTTACTATTAGTCAAGTAAAAAGTTGTCATCCCAATATTTACTTGTGAGTGAAAAGGGGTTTAAGGCAGCAACATTCTTGTGC